TGATAGCGTTGTATCTAATTCTAGTAGACTGTAAATGATATCAAGACTTTCTGTAATAGGTATACTAGTATATAATGAGTTAATATCACAACTTACCATAATGCCTTTTTTATCAATTTCTCGGTGTTCTATTTTAGATTTGAAATCATATGAATTTATTACAATATTTTGAGTGTCCTTTTGTAGTGGTTGTAGTACCGAGAGTAAGTATTTATATAGGTTGTATGTCGGTGAGTTGGTGAAATCTATTACTGGTCTTAATGGAAGTGTAGGTTTATGTATCTTTGGTAGATCGTAGAATCTTGAAGGTATATAAGATTTTGGTTTTAGTTTAAACAAGAAAGAGAATTTCCAATTTTGGGTATCATTTCTTGAAGGAGTCTGTTTGTATTTAGTTTTATTTTGTTCAATCGCCTTCTTTTCATAATCCGTTCTGTTCATTATCACAGTGACGTTTCCTTTGTCGGCTTTCGTTATAACAATGCTTTTGTCTTTCTTCAAATTTCTTAAGGCTTCATATTCTTGTTTGGTGAGATTAGATGGTATGTTTCGTTGTGTCATTAATATGTATGACATCTTTTGACGAACAGATTGTGATTCTTCATTGGTGAATAGTTGTAGAGCAGGTTCAATCATAGGTGCTATTTCCTGGACCGATAATGGCTTTCCGGCGATATTGAAATTCAGACCTTTCTGTAGTAATGACATTTCATTTTCGGTTAGTATCTTGTCTGACATGTTATGTATGGCTCTTATATTCTTCATATCATTTGCTGAGGTTTTCTTTGGTTGTTTCTTTTCTTTAAGTTTCAAGAATTTCTGTATTTGTCTTCTTTTAGTGACATTATGAAAAATAAGATTATCGTTCATTAAACAATTTTTGAAAGGATTCATAGATATGACTTGTAACAAGTAATGTTAAACAGTCGTCTATATTTTTGATTCTCATTCGATAAGATTCAAGTTTGATGTTGCATTTATGTATTCTTTCTTGTAAAAATACTTTGGAGGTATGATTTGCAGGAAGTATGGATTTGTATGAATATTCAAGAGGTTTAACTCGCAGTGACTTGGGAATAATTCCACTTTGTAGACAGCGTAAGTTGAAAATACGATGATTATAGAAGTTACATTTATGCTACGATAGAGTAATCCGGTTTTAAATTAGGTTATATATGTCCAAACCAAGTTCACTTTTAACGGTTTCAAAAAATGTGGGCATTGGGTATATGATATTCATTATAATAAAGGTTTTTGTATTTCCCAATGAATGAAAAGCAAAACGATATTCTTTTTACTGACGTTTCGCTGTTTAATGCTAATAGCTTTATCAAAGTATTATTAAACCGGAATTTACAAAATCTCAGCATATATATAACAAAGAGTTAGGGGTGAGAAGATAGACTTAGATCAAGTTAAAAAGACACATTAATAATAAAAAAAGTTATGTGCGACTATTGTCTGATCTGAAGATTATCAATGCAACTACACTTGAATATTAAATACATGTCAGACAGACAACCACCCAATCAGACTCTGCATAGGTCTGATGACCATTGCTCAGACTAAAGAGTTATTAATTTTTGTTATTTTATTTATTAGGACATAAAAAGGATACATTGTGGGCATCAAAAGAGGCACTGCACAAAAACTCATAGTTTGTGAGCGGGTTGAGATAATATCCTGACGCTCAGGCAGAAGCAGGTGGTTGTCTTACGGGACCACACACCGAGCATTTGATTTGAAATATGACCCAGAAGTCAGTGGAGCAGCATCAGGAGCTACCTTCCCATGGTTTCTGGTGGCCTAAACAGTTTCATAAGTCGTTCTATCCTTTTAGGTTCTGGAGCCCGTGTTCATTATAGGTTTGAAATTAATCGTCTTGGTTCGCCGAAGTGAGCTTGCATATGTAAAACTCCCCTTGTAAACACCAGAAGTTCATACTAGGTCTTTTATTTTGTCAGGAACACCCTAGTTGCGTTAAGACAGTGAATAGGACTTACGTGTCAGAGGTTATGAACGTGTGATCAGATGAAAGAATTTCTAGAAGAAGACCTAATTTTACTTACCCTTGTCCGTAACAAGGTCGTTTATGGGGCAGACTAAAGAGTTCGAAAATGAGGATGTAGAGATAATCATGAATGGTATGGAGGTTGTAAAACTAGTGTCTAAAGCCCAGTCATAAGCTAGTGAGGGTTTTTTCTGGACTTCATTCAAAGATGGTATCTGGGATCAGGCAAAGGGGAAATAGTGGTAGAATTCCACAGCTTAAACGATCGGATATAGACCCTGTAGTAGTTCAAAAGAGGCTAAATTTTGAAGAAGATTCGCCAGTAATTATGATTAAACTTACGATCGATTTGGCGGAATGCACTCACACAGAATAAGTCTCAGTGAAATTCATCAATAAGAGGTTATTTGTACCGATCTCCAACAATCAATTTAGAGTTTGTGGATTATCACAAAGCCAGAAGATTTAAGTAATCAAATCAAACAAATAAATGTATTGTTGTGTTGAGTGCTATTCATAAGACTCATCAGTAGTATATAAAGAGACGTTCATTGGCATAAAAACATCAAGTAGCAGGGAGATACATTTTATTTCAGAAAAGGCAAATGATAGGGCGTTGTGGAGATACATGGGAGACATGAAAGGTACACAAAGAAACACAATATGAAGTCCAGAAGTATCACAACACGAATATCTGCGCAAGTAGCGCGTTGAAGATAAGGCATACATAATTTGGATAGAGAAATGCCAATTTTCAAATAAACATTCCTTTACCAAGTCCTCGGCTTTTACCGTTTCGTTATTAGTGAATAACTACCACAATTTATTCAAAAATATAATAAGAACCATAGAAAAAGTAAGCTAAGTAATATAAATGACGGAAATAACGAAAATAATATAGAATTCAAAGCCTCTATAACACTGTCGAATAAAGAAGGGCCGTCAGAGGCCTTATGTAGGATTTTCAGTGAAGCCAGAATTAGGGTGACATATACACCACCAACCAACTCTCTCAGAGATAAACTTTGTCAGCTAAAGGACCCACGGGATTCAATTAAGAAAAATCACATATCATTTACCAAACTAAGTAATTAATATGAGCTCTGAATCATGGCCAATACGATTTGAAGACATGAAAAGGTTGACTGCTTTCGATCATAGATGTCTGCGATCTCTGTCTCACGTTAGGTGGTTTAATAAGGTAGGTAATGTTGACGTTAGGCGTAGTGTTGGGCAAACAGGGAAAATCAATCGACAAGGCTATAAAGTTACATAGACTAAGATGGCTAGGTCACGTGCTGCGCATGCCTAACCATAGCCTCCCCCGATGACGGGCATTACTAGCTGATATAGGTGCAGGTTGGAAAAGAGTAAGTGGTGGCCAAACAAAAACATGGCATCAATCCATGAAATCCTTGACAGTTAAACTGAGTCAGGTAGGGAGATGCAGACTTCCAGGTTGGGGCCCTCGGGACTCTAGGAATCAATGGCTGGAGACAATAGGTGAAATGGCTCAAAATAGTTGTCAATGGCGCGGATGTATTTAGTCTTTGTAATCTTTCATATTTCTTTCTACCATTATCCATTCTGTTTCGCTCTTATACCTGTCAAACTCTATTGATTCTCTTCACTCATCTTCTTGTCTACCTTTGTGTGCTATTTGGAACGTGGCAACTCGAACTGGTGCACTCCGGTGCCAAGTTCTATGTTGAATGCAGACAGACAGACTACGACATAGGTCAGAGTAGTAGATCAGGGTCAACTAGATTATCGGAACATAAAACTTTGGCAAGACCAAGAATAATTGACTCTGCTAAGTTAAATATACTAGAAAAAAGCTCAGCCATCGCACTGCATTCACTTGCATGTAATCACAAAATAGGGAGGGATAGGGTAAGAGTAATAAAAAGTAATATAGTTAAGTGGAGAGAAGTTAATCACTGAAGCTCTCTTTATCTAATCAACACCACACACGCCATCGAAATGACACAACGCCTATAATAGAGATATGGAAAGTGGCAACTGACAGAAAAGGTCAGTTAAAGAGATAGAAAGAGAGAAAGTGTACATAAGACAAATTGTGAAAGTGTGACAAAAACTGATATGATTATGAGCATCAATATTTTATTCTCGAAAAGTTACTCCAGTTTTTAATACTGCATCACTGTATGATATTTGAAACAAACTTATCTACTACGGAATTACATACTTCGATGAACAAAATATTCCCATACTGAGTCACAAGAAAAAGGCGTAAACAGAGACGAAAATTTTGTTTTCGACGATTCATTTTGATGAGCTGTACAATCGTAATTATATTTAACAAAGAAATCATTAGACCAAAGTTTACCAGTATCTGATTCGTCTAATGCTTTGCTTGTTAAATATAATTACGATGGTACAGGGGTGTACTCGGTTTGACTCAGATCAGAAAGCCGAATCAGTTCAAGCCACCCGATTTCTGGTTAACTACCTCACCGAACTTGTTAGCGATTTGCAAATTGTGAATTTTATAGAATGGCTTCAATGATACGTTAATTAATTTACATAAGACCTCAGTTATTGCGATGAGCGGAGGTGACACTGTCATTCAAGATGTCAGTACAGAGTCGGACCTCCTAACGGAGAACCTGGTCTGTGATTCCTATCTGCAAACCCGAACAACGCACGCTGCAGAAATACAGTAGTGTCAATACAAAAAATGTCGGAAATACAATTACGATTTAAAATAATAAACAAAAGAATTGTATACACACATACAGGAAGGTGAGTGGATAACCTGATATGAGTATTACCAAGTGATATGTCAGTGGGCAAGTTCTATTCTAACACCGTCTTTACATATAGATAGAACAAGTAGTTTTTACAGTCATTTGTTTTCTATATATACGGCTGTAACAGTATTGCATGTGAGGAACATAAAAATTCCAAGATAAAACTATAAATTTCCACAAATGATACAAATACTTTTAAGACGGCTAAAACATACCTGATGATGAAATTTTGCAATCAAGGCACGTGCATCTGTACGTGAAGCATTATCCTCTTCTTCACGGACTTCACGACGACAATAGACACATAAGAGTTTCCCCGGATTAGTTAAATCCATAAGCCTGTCCACTTCCAAGTCTGTATAAGTTGTACGGCAAGAAGAACACTTAAAACTAGCTCGACTTGTAGACTGACGCTGTTCAGTCTCTAATCGGCGTTGCATTAGGTCTAATCGATATTTGACCACATTAACGAATAGCTAAAAAAAATTAAAATAAAGAATGATATCGGCTGTTTAATCAGCATGTCACGTAATATTGTGGTGTAGGCTACTGGTAGGACTTATCAGTAGTATACAAAGAGACTTTCGTCGACACAAAAAATATTAAACAGCGAAGGTGCTAATTTGACGTTAAAGAGAGGAAAGTAAGCAGTATGTCATTCGAAAATGCAATTCACTATCAGATTTTATGGTCACTTACTGCATAGGGTCAAGTAAACAACAAACAGTAGACTCATTGAAAATAACGGGTAAAAAAAGCTTACTTTATAGTCAATGAAGTAGTGTGTAATTTTCGTAGTTTTCCCATCCGTATCTGTTTCTAACTGTAGCTTTGATTTAATGAACTGATCACATTTTAATGTGTGTAGATACTGTCTCAGTTGTTTCCGTTCAAACCGAAGTCTTTGGCATAAATCATCTTCTTTCATAATTGTATTACGCACCTATAGATAAATGAATAAGTTATACACAAATGTAGTCAGGGAAGGGTTTAATCATCATCGGCCGTGAAGTGGAATAACGCTCACCAAACATGAATGTGGTACATAGTTCGACCACCGGCTGACTCACTCCTAAGCTTCGATTAGCCGGCAGTAAGTCCTGTAAAGAGGGAAGGCTGGGTGTGAGACAGGCAATTCAACCCAGTAAAAAACCACTGCTACTGAAAATTAAGAGATCAACCTTGCAGTTCTATGGTCCACCTGGAACGCAAAGCAACAAAATGAAACCATTCATTATTAAGTGAGTGAAATTTTGAAGCAAGCGTGTCAAAAAATATATTATATTACCAGCTGGGTACATGAATGTACAAGTCGGGAGTTTAGGCTCCGAGAAAAATTGTCTAGGTGGTCAATGGGATCTACACGGTCACATATCAGATAATAAAGACCGTCTTCTGAACCGCTGCGCAGGTCACAACCTATTTCTAGCCAATAAAAACCACCTGGCATAGCCATCAACCTTTCATTACCTGGCGCCCCTCTGCCACTCAAGCATGGACTTGGACAAACCCCTTTATTATCACTTTCCGATGGCGTGGATATATAAACCATCGCTGCTCCTTCTGGAGCACAAGCCTGAATTCCCATCATCCTTCAGCATATACTAGCTGCATCTTACAATTTCGTGGTGAACATAGATGGCGCCATCAACAGCTTGATTTAAGTAAACTGAGAACAACTATTACCTCTGCGAAGTACCACGTTCAGTTGGTAACCCTCCGAATAGTACAGATCAACAGTCGTTACACCTGCAAGACGTTATGAAAATGGGAAGCAAAGATAGTTGCGGCATGAAATAATCCCAATGGGTTTTCACGAGATCCTTACAACTTCCAGATGGCCATCAGTGCATTCCAGAAAACAGCAAGTATAACAACATCCATAAGGCTTGCTCCCTTTGCTCAGATCAAACAGTACTTATGTGAGAACTACGAATCCTGGTCAAAACGCCTGTCATATGGAATCGGTAGCTGCATTTGGGACTAGTTAGATTCTCTTCCAGCTCATTCGAAACACAGGAAGCAAGAAGCATGATGTCAATGAAACGGGCTACGAAGCAGATGGCACGCCGATTAATAACTGAAACGAACGACCAGAACACTGAACAGAGAGCCTTAACAAACAGTTGTGATGGCCAATAACTCTAACAATATGAATTACAGTCCTCCAAAGTCGATTAGCATCGATTTACCACACGAAGGGAGGGGTCCGAAAAGAATTCCAAGCACTGAAACGCTATAAGCCACCCGGCCCAGATAATCTACCTGTAGTTCTTTTAAAAGATGGTGGTGAGATCTAATCAGGAAGCTGACTGAATTTTTCAGGAAATTGTGGGGAAGCGAGAAAGTTCCATCAATGTGGAACGAAACCATTATCGCGTCAGCTTTAAAAAGAGTCTACATCTAAGTACAAACTACTGTTGCAAGATTGGAAGGAGCCTGTGTCTGTACTCACCCTTGCAGGTGAACCATTTGAAGTTGTCGATAACTTTGTGTATCTGGGTAGTTGTGTAAGGTATGACGGATGAGATATCTAGCCGTAGTGAAAACTAGGATAATATACGTCAATTTGGACCACCTCTGACACTTCAGCCTAGCTACCAAAGGTTGGATTTACAATGCTTCGGTGGGTGTAGTCTTGCTCTAAATCTATGAAACCTGGCCTCTCTGAGCTCAGGATGTGCGACGACTCTGTGTATTCGATCATCGCTGCCTCTGTGGGATCGCTTGTGTCCGATGGCAACATAGTGTTTATGATTCTGAGCGTGTGTTCGGACACGGTGGCGATCACCATTCATTGAATGTCACCATCTGGAAACACCCGTTTGGATATGTACTGCCCCCAGAGGTTCCCATGGTGCTGGTTCTTTGATAGCCTTGGAACTGGATAGGAAAAACAGAGAGGTGGTCAACTTATGATGTGGAACTATGAGAGGAAAGATATTTGCGTTAAACATCCGCTGGTATAACAGGACACACTGGGTGATGTCTGAATGATATTTCGAATCGGTGCCCCGAGACATTATTAGATATGGCAAAAAATCGTAATCAATCGCGAAAATGTTGCAACTTTCTTTTTTTTCTTCCCTTTTGAAGGAAATATGAAGTAATGAATGATGAATAGCGTTGATAAGTATGCTTACTTGCTTTCTGGATGACCTTCACCGCTTATTCTATTCTTGTTTCTCTTATATATTTTATTATTTTTATGTGGCACATCTCTTGGTGTCTATGATGCAACAAGTGTTTTTTTTTTCAGTAAAATGATAACAAGACGAGAACAAATGTAAAAGCTAGGGTATTTGGTCAAAGAGTGGCGGAGGCTCAGTAATAAGGAACTTAAAACACATAACCGACAAGATTCAGAAAAAATCCTAGGATAAATTCACCTGAAAAGATAATTCTTATGATTGTAGTATATAGGTTCGTCACAGGGAAAATAACTCAAATCTCATTAAAACTATGTTCAAGAACACGCATCTAAAAATAACTAAAGACAAATGTCTCGCGTGGTCTAGCGATTAGGATTCTTGACTTTCACCAAGGGGGTCAGAGTTTGGCCCTAGGTGAGGAAGCGATTTGTGCGTCAGTGATTCAGTGCTGGAATGGTCACCGACCACACATGTGGTCTGTGTGCGATTCCCGGTGGAAGCACTATGAAGCCATATCTAATCGATTGTAAGTCCACGATAGAAGGAAGGTTAGATGTAAGGCTAGCAACCCCACACAACAAAAACAACACCGCTACTGAAACTTAAATTGTGAAACTTCACGTTACACTCGGAAATTAAAGGAAGGAGAAAAATTACTAATGTTCAACCGGATACTAGCACATCTTTGTGAATGTCTTCAGTGAATTCTTTTATAAGCGTCAAATGATATTCATGTTGAAAAAATAGTAACTAAAAACTCTGTGGGATACCTAACTACCTTAAACATCTTTACAGGGTAGTTTGACTGTACCATAAGTAAAAGCAAATAAGTAACAATATACCTCCTTTAAACAGACATCATTATGAAAGCAGGATAGCAGGTTAAATATGAACACCTATAGAAAACTGATACATTCCAATGAATACTTAGTTAATACAGGGGAAAGCGATGGTGAAATGAAAGATAAAACAGAGCAAACATGGACAATCAAAGGAAGAACTGAGTTCAGCGTAAAATGTACTGAATAAAGTGAGGAGTTCCAGGAAAGACAAGGAAAAATTTTACAACACACTAGCAAATTAGGCAGAATAAGTCGTAGGTAAGGAGGAACTCCAATCACAAACCAAAGTGGTATCCAAGAAGAGATCAGCACAGATGAAACGAATAAAGATAGTGAAGGAAACCTAACTGCCACAAAACAAAATGTAGAGAAACAATGGGCTGGTCACTTCAAATGACTTCCGAACCGACCACTACCTACAACTTGTCCAGAAATACCACTACCGCGAGACAGAGAACTGCCAGTAAACAATAATTTTCCGACAAAAGCAGAAGTTTTGAAGACCATGAAGCTACTGGAAGACAGCAGGACCGGTCTGAATTCCTCCTGAATTACTGGAGACAGATCCAGAGACCACGTCAGATATGCTCAAGCAACTATTGCAAGATGTCTGGAAGAAAAGAGAGCTACCTACTGATTAGAATAAAAACCACTTTGTCACTCTGCAAGAACTGGTGTGGAATAAATGCTCTTGTCCACACCTAGTAAAATAATAATTCGTGTCACTCTGGAGAGACCAAAAGATCCACTGGATGCAAACCCCCGCCTGGAACAAGCTGGATTCAGGAAAAGCGAATCATGTGCGCATCAAACTGCAACTATACGCATCATCATCGAACAGAGCATAGAATGGCAGTCAAATCTCTACATCAACTTCATGGACTCTGAAAAAGCCTTCAACAGTATTGACCGTGTAATAATTTGGAAAGTACTTCAACACAATGGCGTGCAGTGCCCAAACGTTTTTCAGCCTCATTCAACAGCTCTATAATGTCATAAGTCAAGTGACTCACAACTTGAAACTGTACGAATCCTTCCAAGTCGTGGCAAGAGTAAATAAGGTAAGACTCCCTAGTACCACCGATGATATTCTTGATATTGGTGGACCAGATCACCCATTAGAGTGTGGGGTGCGAGGATACAGGCATAAGTTAGACCCACAAGATGATCAGATGTCGAAAAATGATTAGCGACAAGGAGCTATGGCAACTAAGTTGCCAAGACCCTGCTGCCTAACATATATGTAGAATAAAATGGAGGGGACCATAGAGTGACATCACGCGCAAGGTTTATGAGCGGAAACCAAATGGGAATTGACGTGCTGGGTTTAATCCGAGGATGAAATACGAGGAATAGTATCAGGTGGAGATGAAAGCTTATGGTCAACTGTTGAGCACGTTAAAAAGGACTGTAGAGAACAGGATGGTATGGAGAAGTGCTGTTGAAGCTATGTGTTCCACTAGAAACCCAAGGGAATAATGAAAATAATATGAAAAAATATAATTTAGAGAACCCTATGCAATGACTGTGAGTTTCATTACATAGGTCACACTAGTAGATCAGGATCAACTGGATAATTGAAACAGGAATTCAGCTAGACGTAGAATGATGAAGTATGATTTGAATAATGTGCAAAATAAACTCAACCATGGCAATGCACTCACTTGCATGCAAACATACTCGGGCAAGACATGGCAAAAGTATTAAAAATTAATACAGTTCAGTGCAGAAAGAGAGGTTAACCAGACAATCTTGGTTCACTGAATCAACACCAAACACATGCGGTCGAAAAGACGCAAAACCTATACTGGATACATAGAAAAAAGCAGCGAGTAGGATCATATAAAGCAAGTTATCAAGTCATGTGAATACACTAACACGATTATGAGCAATAATTTGTGCTAAAAACGTTATCTAGTCATCAGTGTTATTAAAATAATAAACTTGTCTAACTCAACAACTGTTTCACTCTGAGATAGATTCTTACCAGCATATCAACGATGAGTGAGTGTTCTCTTGTGTAAAATGTTCGTACAATGGACCGAACTAACTTTATCAAACAAATAGGCACTTTTGAGGGATCCTTTTGGTTAGATGTTGTATCAGGTGTGTGACATAAGGGATTCGTTGAAGACTGTTTGACTTTAGTAGGCAATGACTCTGAATGTACTACGCTTTTAACACGATTTGAAAGCACCGAAGCAGATGTGTTGACCGCTGTTGACATTGTCAATAGTATTGTGCAATTTCACGAAACTCTGGTTTACAAGTATCCTCCTTTTAGCTACCTTTTATGTCAAAAGACATTGCCGACAAGCTATCAAGAACGGAAATAGAACAGGATATTAAGAAGCAAATATAACAGCAAAACACCATGAATAAAATTTCTTATTATGCCAGAAGTCTATCAATAGTCCTTGCTCTTTATTTTCTTTTGCCACATAATGAACTTTTAGAACTTCCATTGATACTTATAGGGGAAAAGCTAGGATTGGAAACATTTCCCGATACGCAGTTAAAGCAAGCAACAAAAGTCAGTAAAACAGGATTTAATGAATTCATCAAATCTCGGTAAAACCCATCAACTGGATACTCTACATACAGGGACATATATATATATATATATACAGTTAGAAATATATTGGGAGGTTTGACTGATTAGCAAATAAACTACATTGAATTAGTTATACAAAACGACATGAGTGAATATTTTCCAGGTCATATTCAAATAGACAAAGGAAAATTAAAATTAAGTTAAAGTGCATTACGGTTCAGTTACATCGTTCAGATAAGCAACCAGTCAAGAAAGAAAGATATTAGAGAAATCAAGAATTGTGAACTGAGTAATATTAATAAATAATAATAATGTTGAGACGAGTTAGGATAATATTACTGATAAAAGATAGTTTTAAATAAATCAGAAGTAATAAAAAGTAGAATAAGCAAACCAGTTTTGGTATGCAAATACATTAAACATACCCTTAAGAACGAATGTCTTGGAAAACAAACGATACGTTTTCTAACAAAACTTTACTGCCGAAGAAATAGACATTAGGAAGTACAATTTACTACATGTTTACAAAAATTGATTTTAGATATCTACAGAAACTATTCAATAATTTATAACATTTTACTCAACTCGCAGGGGAAATGCTGGATGTATACTGGAGTTTCTGAAATAAGCATATAAGACCCAAGTGATGATATTCCCCTATCCCACGTAACACGCAATGAATCGATAAAACTTACACTACGGGTACTACGAGTTCCTTTACAGACTTTTTGGTATGGAAACGGCATCAAGTCTCTAGAACAGAAGGATCACAGCTTGGCAGTGACGACTTGACCTGCTGACTTAAGGATTCGAGTTTTAGTCAACGGGGTCGAATACGAGTCCCACCCAATCAATTTCGGTCTGATCACATGGAAAGTGTAATCAGAACTGGCACGCAGGAAACGATCCTGGTAATTGGGTTTTAACAACGACGTGGTTCGATTGTATACCAGAAAACAGGCATAAGAGTGCGACCATGCTAAACAGATTTGTAAGAATACGGAAAGATTGTGGTAATTCGTCAACATGCTTTTGTACTTCTTGTTTGCACACTAAATGGCTGTATTTCGGACGATGTAAGGAATCTTGTCTTGTCTAGTTTGCTGCTAAAATTGATTTTAATACACAAGGAGGATTACTCATCCAGATAGATAAACCTGTGATTCAACAACGGTGACCCAGTGACTTTAAACAAGGTTACAGACTCACCTAGTGACTACTTATAACAAAGCATTGGTGATGATTCACTTTTCCCTTTGTAACACTAATAAAGATGCTAATCGTACATGATTACAACAACATCTAGTCTGTAGGTGAACGAATGTAGATAATACACAACTGTAACATCCCAACCCATCCATAACTGTGAGCTCTGCACTAACAGTATGGAGAACTAGATATCTACCTGAGTGTAACAGTAATACTTATCTTGAGGAAAGCTGACACCTGACCCAGTCAACTGTAGGAACATTGCTGACGACAGTCAAAGGTTAGCAACTGTGTATTCTCATATGAAATAACTGGTGAAAGCAGATTGAACACGACAAAGAATAGAAGCTGACTAGAAGTCCTTGCAGTGAAAGGAAAAAGGCAGCAAGTACTAGATAACATAAACCACGGCTTTTGGTCCTAAATAGCTACAATAAGTAAACCAATATCCGAGTAAAATGGAAATTCAGTAACTCCTCAATGGAGACTGCTGTAAGGCTGGGTATAACACCGAGATTCAGTGCAACTGGTTTAAAACTGAAAAGCAATTGAGAAATATGCAACTGTAACGGAAGTTGTAAAAGCTGTCTAATTTAAGAAAAGGAAACGTAAAACGACCTAGTGGTCTAAATCCCAAGATACCATGAATTATTGGCTAGAGTAACCAAGGAATACTTGTTGTATGGCAATTTCCATTATCCCAGCCTATAGCGAAACGAACTTTAATATGATAACAGGCGAATTAGTCATACCAATGTATTATCCAAGATCATGTAGTTGGTATTTATACGAAGATTACGTGGAAGAGTGAGAAAGAAAAATCGAAGTGAACCAGGTAGCTTACAGAAACAGAAGGAGGTATACTATTTTCCAATTCAATTTTGATTTTCCCATTGACTGACCTGTCGGTTCTTGGAGCGGACGACTTAACGATGTCTGAGGATTATCTTAAAGTAACTCGTTGGATGGTAACCTGGGTGAGTTCCGAATAGAACGAAATGTGCCAACTGGATTCCACTACCAGTCACCATCCACCAAAAAACTTTAAGGAGGTACACTGTTCAAATTTCTACAAACCAACAGGTTGTGGGGTACAGGTACAACTAATGAGGTCCAACTCCAGCCCTATTCCTTGAACTGGAGGGAAATTAAATAACAGAAATAGTTAATAAATAATGAAATGGTTAGTTTGACAGAACTAGTATTCATAATAATATTCCAATGAATTGGGCTTTGGAAGCAGTTAGAAAAGAACTAAATACTAATCTCGAACTGCCTCATAGGACAAGGCTATCCATCGAGGCAATTATTTTTATAAATTCAGGTGCCACGCGTTTGCTGTCTTGAGGCTCCAGGGCAACATATATAGACAAACAGAAGGCGTACCAATGGGATCACTAATGTCCCAAGTCGTAGCAGATATCTTTGTGGATAGTTTGGAAAATGTGTTTCCTAGAACATTTAATCCCATCCCAAAGACATGGTGGAGATATGTGGATGACAGTCTCGCGGTGTTGAAAACTGAATATAATAGCCCGTATGAGGAAACATGGCTTAGCGGCGGTGGAAGGACATAGATTCCGACCAGGACGAACCTACCTGACAAACCTACCACTAGCTAGGGAAGACTGTGTAGAAGCTAAGGATAAAAATCTTCTGTTAGACGTTGTTTTCATCGATCCTGGTAAAGCATTCGACAAAGCAGGTCTCCTTAGTAAACTAAAATGTTTCAACTTAGACCAATACCTATGTAAGTAGTTTGGGGAATAGCTAATGGATAGATGACAAAAGGTATGGGTGGAAATCAGTGTTGAGTTGAGTACCCCAGGGAATTGTACGTAAATGGGCTACCGAAAATTCTTACTTCATCTTCATTATTATTTGCGGACATTGAGATCTGGAAAACTAATTATTAATGATGGCAAGTCAGTCTTACAAGGTGAACTAGATAAATTAACCGAATGATCTAACCATTACAGTTTGGAATCAATCCCAGGAAAAGCTCCGTAATACAAGTGTCAGGGATTTTACAGGTTATACTCCCTGGGGGGCACAAATGCTTGATGTTAAGGGACAAAAGAATTTAGGAATTATTGCTAGCTATGATTTGAAAACAACTGCATATTGTAATACAACGGCGGATAAGGCTTTCTCGAGTGCTCTGAGCGCTGCGAAAGGCTTTCAAACGCTCAAATGAGTCTGTTTTTAAAGAACTCTACGCATCATATTTTGGGCTCTACGTAGAGTACCGTAGACAAGCCACTAGTCCATGCTTAAAGGGTGGAGGTTGTTTGGGAAGTGTGAGGGGTAGACACTCAAGCAGTCAGTAGTATCTGCCACCTTCCTCATGAGAAGGGGATGGAATATTCGGACCTTTTCACATCATCATACCGGAAGTGACATAATTTTGGCATATCGAATACTAAATGGTGATTTTCTGTCTGTCTGTCTGTTTTCGACATAGAACTTTGCACAAATGTGCGGAAGTTCAAGTCGCCACATTCCGTGTAGCACGCGAAGCAAGAGAAGAAAGTACAAGAAAAGCATAATAGAAACAGTGAGCAGAGGTGTGAGACAAAGGAGTAATAAAGAAATACAAAACAGTTTCATTGAAGATCATAAGTCACAGGGAGTGGATGCATCTGCGCCACTGAGAACGATTTTGAGCCATGTCACCAATTGTTTCCAACCATAGATTTTTACCGTCCCGAGGACCCCAGCCTGGAAGTCTACACCTTCCTACGTGGCTTAGACCAACTGTTGTGGATTTCATTGACTGATGCCAAGTTTTTGTTTGACCGCCGCTAGCTTTTTTCCAGCCTGACCCTATATCCGCTAACATTGCTCGTCGAGGGAGGCGATGGCTTGGCATACGTAACACATGTCCTAACCATCTCAGTCTTTGTAGCTTCACGACTTCGTCGATTGATTTCCCCTGTTTACCTAGAACTCTACGCCTAACCTCCATGTTGCTCACCTTATTATGCCACTTTACACGGGAAATAGAACGCAGGCACCTATGATCAAAGACAGCTAGTCTTTTCATGTCTTCCACTCTCAGTGGCCAGGTCTCACAACCATAAAGGAGGACGGAGCGGACTGATGAGCAGTACACCCGCCCTTTGGTCGATAGTCGAACATCTCGTCTACGCCAGAGTCGGCGTAAACTAACAAATGCGAAACGAGCCCCTTGTATTCGTGCTGAGATTTCGTCAGAGATCAGCCCGTTGGGGCTGATGGTACTTCCCAAATAAGTGAAGCGGTCAACGTGCTCTACCACTTCACTTCCTATTTTTAAACTAGGCGTCGATGTAGTCCAGTCCTGTAACATCATCTTGCATTTGGCGGGAGCGAATCGCATGCCAAACATTCGTAGATTGCGGCTCAAGGTGTTTAGAAGACTCTGCATTTCGTCAGCGTCTTCGCCTAGAAGGACTATATCGTCTGCATATTCCAAGTCAACG